AGCACTCATATTTCTTCAACTATGTGGATAAACAATTTTATTTCCGGATTATTAGAAGCAAGTTCAATTACACATCCACTCATTTGTCCGGTAAAGTAATAAACAGTCTCTTCTCCCTATCTTAAGTAGTGCGCAACCCTCAGTTCCACTATCGACGGAGTAGAGCATGCTGGCCGCACTAAAACAATTACGATTAGTACTTGCAATAAATTATGACGTGATAGACTGGATCTACTTGGCTGTACCCACGGACGCCGCGGAATTTTCTGCTACCACGCGCTGGATCCTGCTTTTTCTCTGGAATTACTGTATTTTACGTGTGTTGCTGTGTTAGTTGTGCACCAAACTTTTTAGTTTCGTGTGTTCATCAATCCGTGAAAGTTTCGTGGAATTCCGCTTGATATCTTCGGAGATCTCAGTGATTTACTGCTGTGCCCGTCATTTTGGAATTTGTGATCGACATCTTGCTTGTCCTCGTGCTTGAAAAAATACAACAACTATGCCGAATATCATGCAACGACGTATCTGCTCTTCAGCTAATTGCGGCAAAGCCCTTAAAATGGGTATAACGTGCCGAAACTGCAGTGGCTCGTTCCACCCGAGCTGTATAGGAAAGTCCGCCCAAGAAGCAAGGCAAATAAACAAGGCTACTGACGCATTTTGGTTTTGTCCAACTTGCCAGTTAACTCCAGTGGTCGGTTGTTTATGTGCACTCATGGAAAGGTGCGATACTTTGAATGCGACAATCGCTTATTTGTTGAACGCCAGGCTTGCACCACCGGCCGCGAATATGGCCATGATTGTACCACAGTCGGTCAAAGAAAGCTCCACCTCGAGGCCGAAAAAAAGGGCTAGACGCTCAAGTCGCGCTGCAGCCTCAGTTTCTCCAAATCCCTTGCCTCACTCAACTCCCAAAAGCGGACGAACATCCAGAGTACTGATGTCCACACCTTTGAGTCACACGCCCCACCTCCATTCAACAGCAACCGCGGAAGCTCCGGGGCAAACCTCTTCCGCCGTAGAGAAAAGTCGGGCGTCGTACGCCTCAGTCGCCTCAATGCATACACCGGCTAAATTACCTCCGACTCCGGTGGCCTCACCAAGCAACAGTAAGTTGACCAGACTCCAACAACCAAACAATCCGTTTAACACCGTGTCTTTAAGTCATGGCAAATCTGCATCCAACGCAAGGAGCCAAGGCGCGTTAACCGTTGTGTGTACAAATGTTCCTGAATCACAGGCGAGTACAATAAAGGGGAAGCTGTTGGATGATCGTAATCAGTGGAAGTCTATATGTACTGCGATTGGCATTTCGGTTGAACCTGCAATGCTGAGACGAGTCACACGTCATCCAAATTCAGCGCACTACGGTGAACCCCGACTTCTCCGGGTGACACTAAACTCCATCAAGGACACAGAGGCAGTTCTACTATCGTCCAACAGGCTTTGTCATTCATCACTCGAGGCGCGTATACTTCCTGATATCCCCTGGAACGAACGTCCGAAAAAGATGAGCAACCGTGAAGAAGTTCGTAAAGCCGAGGCGAAACGGACGATAATTGTGTACGGGGTTCCTGAGCTCCAAAATTCAACCTCTGATGCAGCGGATGCACATGACCGGGAGCAATGGAGTTACATCCGCCACGAAATCTCCCTCAATAATATCATCGCTAAGCGGTTGACCAGGATTCCATTTTCACCCAACTACAAAGGGAACGGTCCCAGACTTATGAAGGTGGTGCTTCAATCTGAGTTTATGTTACCGCTCGCCTTGGAAAACTGGTCCAAATTCCGCATGAAGCTGCCAGCTGAAATTCGGTTAAAGGCATCAGGTACGCTGCCACGGATTACCAACGACTCACGGGGAGCGATCAAATTGTTGAACCATCCACTCATGCAACTTTGTGAAGGCATGGATTTATCAACAACCGCAATATCCCACGAAACACGGCTGAACACGGGGGACCAGCAGGGCCCGGAAGGCCGCGATCAGTCGTCTAACCGAAAGCAAACTCAAAGGCAAACGTCACCACAAAAAAACGGTTAATGGCCGACCCGTTAACGGTCGGCACAAACTCCATTTCTACCACAACCTGTGCTAGCTCACTCTTGGTTACAAAAGCACTATCCTGCATGTATACTAATGCACAAGGCCTCATAAGTAAGTTGGTAGAACTCCGTCACCGTTTGGCTTCGGAGCCTCGAGACATCATAATGATCACCGAAACCTGGCTGAGCGGCGAAATCACAGACGCTGAGATTGCCATACCGGGTATGTCACTTCTCCGGAACGACAGAACGGGCAAGGGCGGTGGCGTGCTCATTTATTTCCGAACGAACCTTCGTTGTGAGCTCATAGACGATCCCCAGACTTGTGTCACCGACGTCCTTTGGTGCAAACTGTGGTTGGAACGCAACGACGTATGCCTTCTCTCTGTGGTTTACCGACCACCGAAATCCACTCCGGAAAGGGACAACAGACTTATCTCCGCTTTTCGCTCCGTGCTTAATCAGAAGTACAGCCACATCCTCGTTGCAGGAGATTTCAACACCCATGACTTGGAAAATCCAGCATCCGGT